GGGGAGGAGTACAAAACCATCCAACATAAGTGACGTGGAAATGAAATCTCTTACTCTAATGATAACTATCAAAGTTTGATCAACGTATCTCGATAAGGACCGTCTACTTTGACTCCCTGGTTATAAAGCCAGAAAACATATTTTGCATGTAACCATACCTTCTTTTGTGCAATATCTTTAGCAATCTCCCGAGCCCTCCATTCATCAGCTTCTTTATCTATCTTATCAAACTGCTCACGCTCCTAAACAATTATTGAAACAAACATCCAGTCAAATTTGGCTTTACGTATAATCTACTAAGCAGAAGTCGAGAAGAAATCTTAAAATTTTTCTACCCTGGCTAAATTCTCAGCTACTCTCCTTCTCTTCCTTTTTCGCCAAAGTTTATTTCTTTTATACTTCTCCATTTTATCCGCTAATCTTTTCACAGCAGATTTTTCCTCCCAGGGCGTATTCCCATCAGTAACAACCCTGAAGGGCTCCAATTGATATCTCAATTTCGACATTATAGCATTCGCAGAGTTCAGAGACATTGACTCTTGGAATTCCAAGTCAATTTTATTGTCCTTCATAAACTCAAGAAACCTATCAATGGACATATCACCATGCCTTTTAGCTTCACCTTCTGTAGTTACTTCCATTTCTTTCATCTGAATAAACATCTCCAACTCTTTTTGCCTGTCCATTTTAAATTTGATCAAAGTCATATTTTGATCAAATATCATTATTTCGGCTTTCAGTTAAATACATATGAAACAACTGCAGGAACATATATTTAGTACAGAAACTGCATTCCATTTGATGATCATTCAATTTCACCTCCAGAACATATACTGCACAGATATCTACCGTACTTTGCTCGAGTAATTTTCAACAAGTGACGTGGTGTTTCGAACATATGTTCGAAAAAAGAAACATGCTGCTAGAATACTAAGCTCATCACTCTATTGTTTTTTCAAAATTAACAGCATATGCACAAAATAATAGAATCGCCCCATCACGTTACATCGAGCTCCACTCATGCCAGGACCAACTGATGTTCACCGATAACTAGTTTTACAAACATCCATCAAACTAAAATTAAATCTCCAAACAACTTGTTCATAACATCCACTGCCTTCACTTACATTCCTAAATATATACAACTACATTTTCATGGCGAAAACAAACACGGACAAAAAAAAGAAAAAAATTCATAGCTGCGGGACTGAAATTACAGCTTCTATATCATGTATAGAGTTAAAGTTCAGAGATCTCCTCACATTGCTTTGGCTAGGTTTAAAGTATGTTGAAGTTCTTCAAGGCGGCTGCTAACGTTTCCGGCGGTCCAGAAAGAAGCAGTTGGTGGTGGCACTGGCGGCACTGGCGGTACTGGCGGCAGCGACGGTGGCGGCGGAGGCGGCGGAGCCGGCCAGGGAGAGTGGCCGGAATTAAACGGAACCATACCCATTTGATTCATCATCGGGTAGTTCTGGTCTTCCAGAGAAAGGGCGTGAGTTCGAATCCCACTTCTGACAATAATTCCATATCGCATAGTTTTAAGATCCGGACGGGTCATGGACTCCGGACCGTGTCACTGGTTCACACTTCACACATCAAGTTATCGAATCAATTGTTGACACGAATAATTAGTTTTAAAAAAATAAATTATATTTACAGTATTTTTACCTTATAACAATACATAAAATAATAAAAATAAATTGTTTATATATAAAGTTATATCTAAAGTCTTAATAATATTGTATTTTTTATAAATATTGTCACATGAAAATATATATAAATAATCTTATTTTTAAAAATACAAAATAAAATATATATATATATATATATTTAATGGACGGGTCAAACCGAGTTGACTCGACGTGATCAATACCCGTGTCTATCGAATTGACCGGGGTTTGACCATATCTTTTGCTACCCGGTCCAAGTAACCCACCCATGTCCCAGTTTCAGGTCGACCCACTTGGCCAATCCGGGTCAAAATAATGCCATGTAATTTTATTTATTGCTTTTTATTTGCATTCCAAAATAATAATGCTATGTAGTTTTATTTATTACTTTATTTCACTGTTCATATATTTGTATAATTTTAGTTACCTTTAACAATTTCAATTATTTTTATCTTACTTTTATATCAAATCAACTTTAATTATTTAAATATTATTTTTAATACAACCTTAAAATCTCATTCAAACATAAAACCAACAACTTTTTCAAAATTAACTAAGATTTAATAATAAAAAAAAACAATCAAAACCAAATCAAATTAATATTCAAATAACAACCCCCTTAAATATAAAAGTATTTTGAAGTCTATATTAAACATTAAAGACTCTTTAGAAGTATTACAAGGTTTCAATTGAGCACACCAAAATTATGAATGTCTTCAAACCAAGTGAAATTACAGATATCCCAATAAGAATACAACAAACCAAGTGGTATCTTGTGAAGCTACTCACAAACCACAACCATCTCCATGTACTGTATTGATACATACCCAATAATAACTACACTCGGCACATGTAAACAAATCATTGTGTTAACAAAAGCCTTTCACCAATTCAAATGCCAAAGTGTGATAGTTTTGGCCACACGGGGTATTGTTTCAAGATACAATATACACACAAATGACTCTGTTAACACATTCATAACCCGTATACAATAGCTCACTCGACATGCTGCTATACATATCAGACAATACAAACTATATGGCACGGTACAGTTTACTATAACCACTGTACGCATTCCACGAATTTCAAAACTCAGAGAAAGGCATATAAATCTCCAAGAACCACCTTACCAGAACTGAAAAAACCAAAACTTTGAAATGTGTCTGCAAAATGCTCTTCATTGTGATTTCCCCTCAGACCTTATAAATCTTGTCAAAAAAGAAGCCAAATGGCATTTAACAGCAGATAAACTCACCAAACGCGAGCTATTTGTTGATGAAGAGGTCGATAACTCGAAGTAAGTGGGCTTTGGTGTAGATGGGCACCCGACTGACTGGATCAACTGGTCGACAGACAGCACATGGAACTTCTGGGGCCCGTTGAGAGCGATATTGTGAACCTTGTGCTCGTATATTTTTCCTTCCCTGTCGAGCTTATACTCTGAGGTACCATCAAATCTGCTACGAACCTCCCAAGGGATTCGTGGGATGCCGTGCACAGTCCAACGGACCATTATCATGTTCTCCGTGGGCTGCCACACACTAACGATGTCAACCCACAGAGCCCGGAAGAATATCCTCCCGTGAAATCTTAGTGCCCAAAAGATTGATTTATAGTTCTCTATGCCGGAAAAGGTGTTGAGTGGATCTTTGAAGACTATATCCTCCCTATTCAAGAAAATACAAATATTGAAGAATGAGGAGTATGATTTTATGTTAATGGCAAGTACTCATTCTTCATAGCCGACAAGAGAAAGATTACATAGCATTAAATTCCTCTCCAGATACTCTGCACCCCACATCCGTAGAACTTATATGCTCAACAACAAACAATGCACTAAAATCTTACCATCCAATAAGAGTAAACATTTTGAACTGCAGTAAAAAAGTGTTTTAACAACTTTGAGCTTATATGTCGCACATGTCACGTAAGTACACTCAATTTTTTATTTCAACACTTTTATTTCAACATATAAGATTATCATTATTAGCACTGCAGGAAATGATATTGTTTCTAGGTTCATACAAGATATGAAGTTCATGATGGATTTAGAAGCCCTCTACAAAATTCTAATTAGCTGATCAGTTAAAACACCTGAAACTGGCTTTCAACATTGTCCACACTGATACCTCTATACATAATATAAATACACCAAGTTTTCTCCAAGATCATAATTCACAAGTTGTATTAGCACTAAAATTTTGAGCAAGATACACTTCATAGCTCTACGACTAACGATGTATCATCCTAAATATAGTACATTTTATCAACAATTCCTGCAAGTAAAGCTGCAACCCAACTTTACACCAATCCATAAACAATCTAATACAATCACTTTAAGAAACAGAAAAATAAGCACTTTCATCAACTTCTTTTGTTTGTGTATATGCTAATCAGTATGAACGATATAATGCATCTTTTCCATGTCAAAAGCACATCCACCAAACTACCATTTT